TGAAAAAATTATAATATAATATAATATGAAAATGTTTTCTAGATAATCTACATCTATTCTTGTAGTACTTAGCAAAGTACTATATAATATATAGTACTGAACCAAAAAATATGTTTATTTTGGCTTGTTCGTGTATATCAGTCACATTGACTAATCCATTTTCAGGAAAATCTGAAACTATTACCTCTACCTCTAACATTTATACTTATTACAACAAATTAAACTAAAATTCACCTTTTGTTCTTAACTTGCTTAACAAACATATGAAATTTTGATAATAATTATTATTTTTTGTCATGGTAACTATGATATACTATATATGATAGCGTAATTGTATTAAAGATATGGGTAAAAATAGAAAAAATTGGAATAAATCCCAAATTATTAAAAATAGGTATATGACATACTTAATAAAAGTCGAAAAGCTTTGCAAAATCTATCAGAAAAAATCAAAATATATAGGGTGTACCATTTAAAAATTTTAGATTTTTTAATTTTAAGTAGTTGAAATTTATAAATATATTTTGAACACCCTGTAGCATTTAACTAAAATATCTTAACATATATCTTCTTTTTAATCTCTATTGAACTCTCATACCAAATTTTGGTATTCCAACTTCAGAAACAATGGTACCACCTGACAATTTTTTACCACACTGCAATTTAACATTTGTATAAACAAATTAATATTACAAAAACTATTAATTTTAGGTATATAACATTATATATAAAAAAGTTATAGAATTTTACGCAGAATCTAAAAATGAAATAAAAAATACTTTGTTGCCTTTAAAAAAACATATGTTATATCCGCCACACTTTTTTGAAGCACCCTGTATACTCTACAATAATTTTAAAATGTGTATCTTAATCTTCCCTATAACTTTTGTATTTAACATTTTTTTGTAAACCTCGAAACAAATGAGATAATGGACTTTACTCTATCGTTGACTCACCCTGTACTGTCAATATTCTGATTGCTGTTCTGTAAAATAAAAGTTTATTCCAAAATTTGTGTATCTTAAAAATATATCTTTCTGAGAAGGACGCAGTAATTCCTTTCTTGTTTGGATAGAACTCAAATCTAATATTCTATCAATCGTTCTTCGCCATTTTCCACTTGTGATAACGCTGCACCTATGCCGACGATTCAGGGTATACCTGCCTGGTTGTTGCGGGTAGGCTAAAATAGGACTTGAACTAGAGTCTATCACGGTCCCAGCATGATTTTCTCTTTTGCCATGGTAGGGGCCTCAAACGATTGAAATGGGTTAGGTTAGGTGAGGTTAGGTTACCCTTTCGGCAATTTTATGATTCGGTATACGAAGTCATTTAATCCTATCTATGGCTTTGCATGGCCTTTCCAACGAGGATTGAAGCTTCGTAGATAATCCATGACGTTTCTGGGGGTTACTTACTAAACTCTGGTTACGCTCGTTGAATTTGACACTTTATGTGTTGGCCCAGTGTCTTTGATAATCAGAGAGTACTTTGACTAGATAACGGTTGATGGTTTCTGTTCATGCGTTCAAACATCCCATTGGATTGTGGATGTATAGGACAGTCTTCTAATTTTCCGGATGTTAAGGTGTTATGTTAAGGCGTTTTGTATCAGACTGGACTCGAAGTTTCTTCCCTGATCTGAATGAAGCTCCTTGGGAACACCAAATCTGCTTACCCATTCTTGAACAAGGGTGTTAGCCATTCTTGAACAAGGTTGATATGGCATCGCGTAGGCTTCAACACATTTGTTGAAGTAATCCATTACTACCACAATGTACCGGGTGGCCAACTAAGAGTGGACGTCGGCTGTATCTCAGAAACTACTTATCGCATAACTTTGGGAATAAAAAATTTTGTATTTTGAACACTGGAAATCGCTGGAAATTATTGTCAAATTCGAAATATGTCCGCTAGGGGGCTCATCTGTGATGACCAATCAGAAAACAGCATTTTTCTCAGAAATATGCAGGTGAAGATGTTTTTTAAATATTGTTATTGTAGTCAATAGAAAATTTGTAATTTTTTTGATATAGCGTATTTTCCTCTATCTCATAAAATAAAGTGGTGGGGGACGGTTAAACTTTCTTTTACTAAAATAAGGATAACTCTGATTTGTACTAGCTCATTTAAACAGGCTCGGGCTCGTTTAAGAAGAGCTCTTTTAAACGAGCACTAGTTTTTGAACTTGAAAATAATTTCAAGCGATTTCTCTTGATCGATTTACTTATAACAATTTTTTCATAAATAAAAGTTATACGATAAGTAGTTTCTGAGATATAGCCGGCATTCATTCTAAGTTGGCCACCCGATACTTGTTGTGCCATCGTTCATCTCCACAGAACACACTAAAGAAGAACGCTAACTCCCATGCATTTTTTAGTTTCAAAACGGTTTCAAATTTGTAAAGAAATCTGTAATCTGTATATTGAAGTGGCGCCATCTAGCCACCCAGGAAAGTAACAAATGTGGCGGCAAATTTAAATAGATGCAATTTATTTTTAAGCAGACGTATTGACTTGTTCGCCAGTTAGAGCCAATCAGATTTCTACAAAATAATGTGTAGTCATCTGATTGGTCCTAAGTTGGCAAACAAGTCAAATGGTAAAAAACAAGGATTTATATATAAAGGTTAAACCAGGTTAAACTATTGTAAAGTGTTAAATGGTTTGCTTATATCATTTTATGTGCATAAAAACCTACAATAAATAATTTATTTTAATTTACAGAAAATTATACCATGAAACATTTTACAGACAAATAAAACAACAGATTTAAAAGTATAATATTTATTATAGTACCAGATTTAAGAACACATAACAAATATCGTTGGAATACAAGAGAAAGTGACGTCCATTAGAAACAATGTTTTATTTACGTGTATTTTTTACATTATGGACTTGAACAATTGTGTAATATCACATTGTGGAATTTATGTACAAAAATATGGAGTTGATCAATTTTTTTTTGTAAAAATATATGGCGTTGTAAATATTACATTGTTAAAAAATAAAATTCACGAACATTTGGACTTGGTTAGGTTACCTCACTTTCTCGGATTATTAAATAAAATTGTTAGATAAATCAAAGACCTTTAACTTAAACCTTACCTTTAATAAAGATCTTAAAAATCAAACACAAAACAAAGTTCAAAAAAATTCAAAAATACAAAATCACGATTGTAAAATGAAGATTGCGAAAAACAGTCAAACAACCAGAAAACAGCGAAACACACATCTCCGTTCAATTGCAAAACACAATTGAAGAAGAAGGAGGAAGCCGGAAACGGAAAACTGATTTGACATACAGAACAATGACAGAACTTAATTAATAGGCCTATTTAGGCAACTATAAAAACAATTTTGTACGCAATTGTTAGGAAACTAGAAAAATTAAAATAAAAATACGCCATCTAGCGCCCCAGGAAATTACTACCCCAAAAACAGATCGTTCAAGGTCGTATATCTCAGTTGACTGGCCCTGTTCATCTCCGCCAAAAGACCACGTCGATCGCTATTCGCTCGAAGGGACCACTTTCTCAGCTTGCGAAGTACCTTGATAACACTAAGTTCTCCACCGCAGGTTCCATTGTAAACTTCCTTCAAGACTTCCGGGACCTTCTTATTAGGAATGACAATATGCTCCCTCTCTTCTCGCGCCTCTGGTCTCTTGATCACGTGGCAAAGTAATCAATCATTCACTACCAAGGAATTCCACTGGGCCCAGTATGACTTTACATTCGACGAATATCTGCAAACTTCCCGCCCTCCCCGTTGGTCTTTGTTCTGCGTTTTTCCAGTTAATCATTAAGTCTAATTATGGATCACTGATTTGGTCCTTTGCAAAATCTTCGGGTTACCAAGTATGATTCAGAGTTTTGCTTCTTTCTCTTCTGCTCAAATAATGCTTACAGCTAAATAATGCTTACATCTAAACAATGCTTACAGTTATTAGAGCAAGGTCTTCTTGAAAGTGCGTCAGCATTGCGATTGCCCTAGCTCGATGTTTTGTGTCGGAATCAAATTCTTGCAATCGTTCGATCCATCTAGCTCCCTGCCCTTCAGGATTCTGAAACTGCAACAGCCACTTCAAAGCAGCATGGTCTGTTTCTTAGCAAGAACCTTCTTCCATAGATGTACTTATGTGTTCCACTGCTTTGACTACTTCAAATAATAAGATTTTTATAAGAAATAATAAATCCACCTCTACACAAAACTCTCGAATTTCATGCACATGTATACTAATGCCGTATCAATCAGTTTGCGCAGTTATTTCTCGCAGCATATAAGCCGCACTTATAAAACTGTACGAAGTACGGTTTTCCATCTACACATAAATAATTCGGGCCTCGGCAGAGAAACTGTTTTGCGCAACTAAGTCTTTCTGAAAGCTTTTAGGTGTATAAATCCCCATATAAAAGTCTATTTATAAACCCACTAAATCAATAGGCTGATAATACGAGTATAATGCTGACCATCGGCGCGGCGGGCTGGATTCTGGATTCGTAAGAAGATATTTTCATGGATTCTTTCTTAAGAACTTTGATTGCATCACTTTTTACTTATATTTTTATATTCCTGTTTTTATAGATAGAGGAGAAGTTTAAGAATAATATTATTCCCTAATTAAGGCAAACGTTCTGTTTCTAATTATAATAGTTAAACGTTTCAATAGTGTCAGGCGCGCAATAATTTTATGTTTATAAATAAATAATTTTATTATAACTTAAAATAACGTTATAACATTGTGTGACGATTTAACTAATAAAAAACAAATACAACATATAGTTACTCCTGTCCTAACTTATTACATCAAGTATTTACCACATGCATATGTGTTTGTTATACCTACCTCTAACCTATTGAAAATAGATTTACATTCTACTTTTATACATCAGAAATAATGCGTGACGTAAATGATGATGCCTAACTAGATGTCAAGATACAAGGATTTATTTCGATATGTTAATAGGTAACTCATTTTTCTTACATCAACTGTAACATTCTAAACAAATTAATAACACCATTCATATTTTGTTAACAGAATTTTGTGTACCTTTTTTTACCTAATTAACAGTTTTATCTTTTGTATGTTTACACTTTGCACTCAAAATAATTTAATTTCATTCTTCTCTAATTTTTATATTTTTACTATATAATAAAGTCATCACAAAAACCGTTATTCACAAAAACCTGCAATAAATTGATTTGTTTACCCGAGTTAGAATAGGTAATACTATTGTCCAATAAACCTAACACTATTTCAGTTTTGTGGCCCTGTCTAGCCAGGAACCCTTGTCCTTTTCAAAACATTTGTCAGTATTTAATAAACTGTTCTCATGTTTGCAACAAAAATGTATCAGAGTAATATTGATTTTGTTCTCATATATTTCATTCTTCTTTTTCACAATGTCGTAATAAGTACACCTGTAATAAATATTTACAAAACTGTTAGTCTTAGTTCAACTTCTGTGAGTATAAGCATCTTGATTTTATATTATTTTCGCGTTTTTTTCATTCAATGAAATTCTATTTTACGCTAATATCCTCCCGTTTTTAAAATTGAATAATTGTTTTTTCAGGATACAGAAGGTGTTGCAGAAAGTGTGACGTCGGGGATCTTATTAGCACTACAACATTGCCAAAACGTGTTTTTGTGGGATAAGTGGAATTGCACCAATGTAGAATTTCATAGGTGAGTGTCTTATTGTCTTTTTATATCCTCTGTAAGCTGTGGTCAATATGCTAACCACACCAATAAAGTTCATATCAATAATATCTTCAATGGCCGAATTAGCGCAATATAGTTCTTATTGGCATAAATAAGAAGTCTTTATACGCAGTGAGCGATTAGATGGCTACATTTTAACCGATTTTTCCCCGATCACTTAACTAACCACTGCGCACCCGAAAGCCAATTTTACCTAAAAAATTGGCGCACATTCTTTTGTTTGTATATATATCTTTCTAGTAAAAAAATAAAAAAGATAAGAAGTTAGAAAAAGTAAAAAAATACTAGTGGTAAATTATTTCTATTCTATAGATGTTAGTGCAATACGTACATCAGTAAAAATCACTCTTTTTTTATTGGTGCCACCGAGTTTGTTAACAAAATATCTTTGGATGTTTTAGCAAAGTAAGACATTTTGTTTATTATTATATTTCACAAAATATTAAAAAAATACCATGTTTTTCTTGCATCACTATATATTTTTTTGTAAATATTACCTAGAAATTTATCATATAAAAATAGTTGCATATTTTTGCGCTTAGATGTTATTCGGTGTTTATGACCGTGTAATTACGAAAAGTTCCTTCTATGTTAGTTTTAAGTTCAAACACGATATATTTTAGTACTATTGCTATTTTGAACTTTTGTTTTCACACTCTTATATCACTTCAATTATTGGAAAGCGATTATAGGGACAGTGATGCCCAGAGCTGGCCTATCCCCCCTCTCAAAGTTTTTTTATTTTATAGTATTTTTGGCCTACTGTGATATTTTTAATTATTTTTTTTTTCTTTGTAAAGGATTATATATCGTATGAAAAATATGGCCAATGGAAATATATTAGCAAAGCCTGTGGAGTCCGCCCTTATTTGCCGGCAATGTGATGTTGCTCATTGTTTAGAGTGTTTCGCTCCTTTTCATAATGCTTGATGCATTTTGTTTATAATATTATTACATTGAAGTTAAAATAAAAAAACATAATTTTGTATAATTTGCTTCATTTATTAAATATGGTTATTATATTAACCACTGCTAAACATTAAATTTTAATTCCCAAAGTGTCAGTGGTCAATATACTAACCACGTCATTACAAAGCACCGATTATCTGATATTCTTTTCAATATTTTTCCGGGTGTCTGTAAGAAATATGTAACAAATTAAAATCGAAATTAAACCAAAAATAAAAAAAGAAGTTCTGCGCTTTAAAGGGTTATTGAAATTGACTCCTATGAGAGTGTCTTCAATAATCCACTTGTCTTTAATTGACTGGGTATATATTTCTTTGATATTGATTTAAGTATCTCTCTAACCATCATCAAATTATCTGTAAAAGTGAATACTCTGATTTGTAACTACATACCTTCTACACTTTTTATCTATATTTACTTACGTATACTTAGAACAACCCTTGATGCAGAAAAATAACCTTTAACACATTAAACTATTTTGATTATGTATTAGGTTTGGTATAAGGTTTTTGCAAGTATATGAAGGTACTATGAATAAAGTGAAGTTTATTACTTTCTAGTGAATTTAAAAAATAGATTAATAACTATTATAAATTATAAAGAATTGTTCATATTATATTTTAAGGTTCTATTGAATTTCTCTAAGAAAATATTTCCTGATAACACATAATTTTTTTATCAGAATTTTTGACATAAACTTCAGAAAAAATCTCCAGCCATGACTATATATTTTATACTAATACAGTTTCCCATCTAGGCGTATCTACTAGGTGTATCACCTAAAAAAAATACCAAAGAATTACTAGTGATCCGATTGTGGAAAAACTGGTATAGAAATAAAGCTTTATCTTTCTATGTTTATAGATATTTATCTAGATCTATAATTGTCACTCTAAAATGTCACTATAAATGTCACTCTCTATAAATTAACTTAAAATTATATTTTAGGTATAATTATTATATGTGTTTAAGTAATAAATTATTTTACAGATTAACAAAATCCACGGCAACAAAGGAGGCTGCTTTTTCTAAAGCGATACTTGCCGCAGCAGTTGTGCATTCCATCACTAGAGATTGTAGTAGAGGTATGTTTTTAATATTTATATGATAGTAAAAATAAGGTCAGTGGCCCAATTAACGCCATATTAAAGTTTGACCCACCGTAGTGTCTTAAATATTCTTCAAAATAGTTTCAATTTTGGTATATATTTTTTCTAGGTGTATTAGAAGACAAGTACTTAAGTTTGGTTTGTTTTCTCTGAGAATTTAAATTGGTGAAAAAAAAAATGTATTCGGTTGCAATTGGCGGTATTAAGGACATCTTGTCCTAAATAACGCCAGTTTTAATTTCGATAAAATAAAACACAGCAGAAGGCTATAAGAGTTATGTTCAGATTAAAAAGAAAAAAAAGATTTCAAATTAAAAAGGGTATAATATCAACTCATTTTAAAAAATCGATTACACGAGTTAGTAAGTTAACATTCATATTCAAAACAAACAAATGAAAAGTTATCCTTTTTAGATATATCTACACATTCTTCGTAGATGTAACGATTGCAAACAACACAGCCGCATGTGGAGGACGTGGTCTTCTTGATAAATAAATAAAGCCAAGTCAACTTCCTTAGATATTAATATATTTTTTTTTTCATTTAATTCCGTGTAGTTCCTAACAACGCCAGTGGAAGATTTTTTCACTGGCGTTATTAGGTGCATATGATTTAAAAAGATTTGTTTATGATTGGGGATAAGTTTCCCTGTTTTAATTAAAACTATTATACAGTAATGTTGCGAACTTACCAGAGGGTACCTTCATGTCACCAAACCGAATTTTAAAGGTTACTAAATAAAAATTCCAAATCTTACATTGAAAACCGCACTTTTCACGTTATTTTCACCGGTAAAATAATGCAGCAAACGTATCTCTTGAATGAAAAGAAAAGATTTATACAAGGTGTCCCAGTTCAAACGAAACAAGGCAATTTAAAGGCATTTCTGGTGTCAACGGACAAAACGGTGAAACACGTCAACTTTACTTTCGGAGGGGAAATGAGATGCGACTATTTTTGAAGCCCCTAATTCAAACCCCACGCGGGGGTGACATCCACTCTTAAAATCTTAAATGTACCTAATACGGGGTCGAGTAGCACATCATTTAAAAGGTTATTAAAGTCTCTTTTCAGCGCCGTCTTGTTTTTAGAGTTTTTGTCACATTTGGTGGAATCGGGCTGAAAAATACACTTTTCATAAATTGATGATGCTTTGATATTTGATTCGGATACAGGAATCGAAATGGGGTCTAAAATAAGAAATTTAGTTTAAATCAACAAGATTTTGCTTAAGGAATAATACACAAAAAGTAGTACCCTGCTTTGAAACAATTACTTGATTAAATGTTCGAATTGAGCAGCCCCTGCTTCCATGCACGAATACAGGTTCTGCTCAAAGCGTTCTCGGACGTGTTATAATATTTCGGGTGTTATAACCGCGCACTCGTGTACAATTCTGTGACGTAATACTTCTACTGTCATCGGTTGCGTGGAGAATAGTTTTGTTTTGAGATGTCCCCGTAAAAAAAATCCAACGGAGACAAATCCGGTGACCTAGCTGGCCATTTAAGAAAGGGCCCCCTTCTTCCAATCCTTCTACCGAGAAATGTTTCATCAAGATACTGCCGCACACGTACAGCATAGTGTGGAGGAGCTCTCTCTTGTTGAAATACAAGTTGATTTAAGTTATCTTCATTCTCAATTATATGTGTAATGCTGGGATTTATGGCATTTTCCAAAAGATCCAGATACATATTTCCATTTAGATTTCCATCCAGAAAGAACGGACAACTAGACAGTCGCCAAAGATTCCAGCCCACACATTATTTTTTTCAGGGTACTGAGTATGAACCTCACGGAATTCTCTAGGATTAGTATCAGACCAGTAGCGACAATTGTGGCGATTTACTGTTCCATTGAGAAAAAATGTACATTCATCCGAAAAGCACATGTTGAAAAGAAGACGTGCAGTAGCAATGAGCATTTCACTTAGTTCTTCACTTCGTGTTTCGTAATCATCTTCGTTCAATTCTTGGACTAGATGAAGTTTGTAAGGATTGAATTTGTGGAACTTTAGTATCCTGTGAACACTACTCTTACTTATTCCTGTGGCTGTTGCCAATTGTCTAACACTCATTCTTGGTTCGGCATGGATTTGTCCCAGAACTACTATTTGTCAACTACACCAGGTGGAACTCTTCCCTTCTTTGTAAGAACACTTCCAGTTTCTCTAAATTTAGCTACTAATTCCAGCACGTACTTTCTATTGACATGTTTATCTGGATGACGGTCATTAAATAACTGTGCCGTTCTATTTTACTATAGAATCGCTAAAGTGACGGATGGCTTAGTTCGGAACCACTACCACGGGAACCACTAAAAAATAAAGAATTCTTCAACGAAATAGTCATGGAGATCGCCAACGCCTGAAGACAGGCACGGCACCGCAAGAAAAAGAAAATTATTTTCAGTGCACTGATAAAATTGGAATTTCGTTACCTATTGCCAATTGTAAATTAATTTTCGCACAGTATGGCGCAGAAATGGTGAAATGGTGAAAAGAAAGCCAATTTTGGGCTTCCTTAGTGTATAATTGCGTAAATTTAGAGTTCTTTTAACTGCCAAAGTCCACTTGATAATTAAACTATTTAATCATGCTGTTATAAATAAATAAATGCCTTTATTGTCAAAAAAATTTACAATTTGTAGACAAAGGTAAAGTAAACAAACAAAGTAAACAAACAAGGCACACAAACAAACAAACAAAAGATAATACAAAACATTATACAAATAATATTGTCAGTCTTATTGTTTAAAATAAACATTAAATTTATATAAATGTTTACAATGTCAAAGAATAAAAAAAAACAAGAAAAACAAAAATAATATTCAAAAATATTTAGTTAGTTTATAGTAAATATCAATGACCTCTAAATAAATTTATTATTATTATTATTAGTCATTCAGTTATTATTATTATTAGTCATTGGTAAATATAGCAATAGCAAACATTAGACCAGTGTTTTCAAGATCAAATTCGATTATCAAAATATAATTCATTTACGGCGTAGAAAGCCTTATCTAGTAAATAACAGTTCAATGCTTTGCGAAATGAAGAAAATTATGTTATGGATTTGATTTCAAATGGCAGGTGATTGTGCATTTTTTTCGAGTTGTATAATATTGAACTTTTAACTCTGAGCGTGGAGTAGGTAGATAAAGATCTTGCTCCGCGTTCCTGAGTGGATAAGTGTGAGATGACCTTTCTTGAGAAGCTGATACATGCTTACGTATTAGAAGGGTATTAGGCAAACGGATTCAAATATAAGTAAGGAAGGAAGAGTTAATATTTTTAATTTTTTAAAAAAGTCCTGGCAATGAGTTCTGCTGTTTAGTCCCAATGAATATCGAACAGCTATGTTCTGGAGCTTGAAAATGCGGTCAAATTGAGTCGCACAACACGTACCCCAGAATGGAAGGGCATACCTGAGGTGCGACTCAAAAAGTGCATAATAAACAGTTCTAGCCACTGACAAGTTAAGCTCCTTAGAAACAGATCTTAATGCAAAACAGGCAGAGCTCAATTTTTTCGACGAAGCTTCGATATGCATGTCCCATTTCAGAGAATTGTCCACAACAAGCCCTAAGAATTTTACAGATTTTACGACGTCAATGGTGGTGTTGTTAAGTACAAAAGGCTGCAGCGAGTTTTTATACGACAAAGCTTTAGTTTTAGAAATGTTGAGACTCAGGAGGTTCGAATTGCACCAAGATTTAATGATGATTAAATCATTTGATATAATCCTATGAAGTGCCGTGACGTCCTTGTTGCTCCAAGTGAAGCTAGTGTCGTCGGCAAAAAGACATATTTTGCCACTGATGTTTATGTTAGCAATGTCGTTAATAAAAAGAAGAAACAAAATCGGGCCTAGTACTGAGCCTTGTGGTACTCCACATTCTATTGGCTTGCTAGAAGACAACATAGTATACATATGGCGATTATAATTAAATATACCTACCTATATCCACAAATTTACGCGGAAGAGTTTTGATTGCATTAGTTTGGATTGCATTTTGATTGCATTGCAACTTCTATGCGGAGGGTGTTAATCTTTTGTTGTTATATTATACCAAGAAAAGTTTAACCCCCTGACAAGTTTAGTATGGACAAATCGCCATATGTCTAATTATTTTGGACATTGGCCGAAATTCGGCATCTGCCTCCAACATAAACACAATTTCTTATATTCAATAGATACGAAATTAACAAATAGAATATAATTAATTATTTATTAAGATATTACTTAAATTTTGTTTTAGGTGACATTCAAGATTGCAGTTGTAAACCAGTTCGGAACGAACTCCGCGGATATAACAGTAACCATCGCAAGAATATTCAATCTGTAACAGATTCTACGTTAGATGAAGCAAATGATTCTAATAGTATTAAAGATTGGTCCTGGAGTGGTTGTTCTGATGATACATCATTTGGAAATTTAGTCGCTAAAGATTATATAACTTTCGAAGATGATGTTTTTGGATCTGTTGGAAAGCATAATTATCGCGTAGGAAGAGAGGTAATAAGATAGCATTGGGTATAATAGAATTGTTATACCGGGTGCTTCTCAAAGTGGCTCACCCCTATAACTTTTTTATTTTTTCAGGTAAAATAACGAGTTTTCAGGTAAAACAACGATTTGATATGTTAGTATATGACATAAATTGGGATTTATTGACGTATTCAATTGTTTTCGGTCACTTCCGGTTTTACCGGAAATTACTACAACTTTTGATTTTTAAATGGCACCCTCGGTATTTTTTTACTTTATTCGATAGAAAATGGCACTCTGAATCGAATGACATACCATATGTCAATTTTTGACATAGTGACTCAAAAACAAATTCTATTTTAAATTTCAATCTAGATGCCATGGCTGTGTTAAAAACACTAATTTTTAATCAAGGAGCCTTGGAAAAATAGATTTGATCGTCTAATGTTTTTAGTGTCTTGTCCTGGCCGGTTAAAAGATGCCCAAATCATATTTTTTATTATATCTCATTTTTTTTTCAAATGGAACGAGGGTGGCCCGTTAGCATATTTTTTGGAAAAAGCATTTTTTTACAAATAATTTGATACCACACACTTGGTATTTTGAGTCAAATTGTCGTTATGAACCGCATGTTACAATTTCAAATAAACCATATGCCAAAATGTCAAAAGTTGACATATGATATGTCATTCGATTCAGAGTGTCATTTTCTATCGAATAAAGTAAAGAAATACCGAGAGCGCCATTTAAAAATCAAAAGTTGTAGTAATTTCCGGTGAAACCGGAAGTGACCGAAAACAATTGAATACGTATATCAATCCCAATTTATGTCATATACTAACATACCAAATATCGTTGTTTTATCTGAAAAAATAAAAAAGTTATAGGGATGAGCCTTGATATTGAGTATACAATATGATCGAAAAAAAAACAGCGGCCCTGTGTTATAAATTTTTAGCAACGGAAAACGAAACTATAAGTTTAAATGTAGATTTTGAGATTTTAAAATTTGAAAAGTAACAAATTTATTTTAAGATAAATAGTTACTTTTTTAATTACAAATATACGTATCTGGCAAATATAAACGTATCCAATTAAAATAAAATGTGTAATTGATATCTATAAGCCCGAGAAGCCAGAAAAAGAATATGAAAATTTGCAAACTATTTGCTTCTTCTTCTGTAGGTCCCATAAATATGCAATCTTGCACGTTGGCGGTTATTTGTACATTCCCGACTCTCATCGATTAATTATAAGCGTATAGTAGATAAACTATACGCTTTTGGAAAAAGCAAACGGAGATATTTGAAAAAAAATCTAAGATGGCTGCCATTTTTTTTTCAAACTTTTCCCAGTGGACCTTTTGAGGATTTAAATAGATCATTTTCTACACAATCCCGCTGAGATTGGTTGGTTACTAATTTTTTCTACCTCACCCTCTAGATTGACTGGGCTATTTATTAGGCATACCATTTTGAAATTTATCAACGAAGTAATTTGCCTTTTTTATTATATTTGTGAATTTTATCAATATGTTCAGCATTATGTTGGTCCGAACTGTAAGTATTCCGGAAACTTCGGCAGCATATTCTGCAGATAAAAATAAGTAAAATAGTGTATGTATGTCCTAAAATGCTTAGTTTCTGAGATACTGGGTGTAGAAGTCATTTTTATTTCGATTTTTCTCAATAATTTCTGAAATAACGTCAATATTTGGATGAAAATTGGTACCTTGGAGTTTTTTGACATGAGAAATTTGATTTGATGTCAACATGACTCTTACTTGTAGAGGGACATGTTTTTAAATGGTTTTAAGGGTAGTAACTTTTTTTCCGTACCTGTATAAAACTACTGAGTAACAAATATACATTTACGACGTTTTTTACGTAAAAGAGGCTTCTTAAAAAAATTGTTTAGAAAAATCGAAATAAAAATGAAACTAAAAAATGTCTATACCTATGTGGCGGATTCATTTTTCCAAAAAAATCCTTTATGGGTTTTTGCCACTGCACTGCAAGAAAATCTACAAAATAAAATAATTATTTTTTGTAAACACTTCAGCGCTAAACCTTAAAAGTTATGTTTATAGTAATACAAATTTGCCTAACAAAGAAAAAAAATGCTTAACGTTTCCGAAAGTTATCTCTTTCCGTCGTCGGAAGCAAAAAAATACAAAGAATAAAGAAAAAAACTATTTAAAATATTCAAATTCAACTATTCGAGAACACTTTACTTTTTTAAAACAGATACATATACAAGAAACCGTTGACGTTCTGTTAAAATAACATATATATATATTCTTTTAAAAATGAAACTTCTACACTCTCTGTCTCCGAAACTAAGCATTTTCGGACATACATTTATACGAACTTTTTTACTTATTTTTATATGCAGAATGTGCTACCGAAGTTTCCGGAATACAGTTTGGGCCACTCTGTATAAAGTAAAAATAATATTATAATTCTGACAGATTGTTTATCAGACAATGATTAAAAGATGTCGCTGCCACGGAGTATCTGGAAGTTGTTCAACGAAAACTTGTTGGATGCAAGTGGCTCCTTTTAAAGATGTGGCTAGGAAACTCAAAGAAAAATATAATAAAGCAGTTCGATTATCCCAAGATAATGTAGAAGCTGCAGTAGCTCTAAGCAATAGTATAAAAAACGACAAGAAATATTTGCCAGCTCCAGAATATGCTTTGGTTTATTTAGAGCAGAGCCCGGATTATTGTATACTCAATGCAACTAATGGTAAGGCTATTTCATATACTTTTTACTTAACCAAAAAATAAGGTACATGGTTCATACCATATTTTACGTATACATATTTCATATCAATTAAACCTAGTTACGTAATCGCGGGCGTAATTTTTAAATGCATTGTTGCCAACCATGGATATATTCGGCGCCGGGCTCACTAATTGGGATTTAAATTTCCCGCTGTGGATTCAGATTATATATTATGATGGCTTGTAGATATATTGGATTTTCTATAAAAGAACCAATTAAGGCAAATTCATTTTCTTCACTTCAACGATAGATTTCTGCCAATAGGTTTTTCATATACCATACTATCAGCTCTGCGAAATAGGAAAAGTACTTTTTCAAAAGAACCCTTTTCAAAAAAAGTCCTATTTGGGCATATCTTTGAGCATAAACCTTTCAGGCCAACAAACAATTGTCCTCGCAAAATAAAATCACTAGTAACACATTCTTTCCGCCAGCAGATACTGCTTCATTTTTCTTGATAAAATAATAAATACTTGCTTATTAACCTTATTGTAGGTAAATTAAATAAAAATAACCTGTTATAAATCTAAATAAAGTCCATAAACCAATGTCGATTTTGAAAATAGCTACTAAGTGTCACTAGACAATTGCCATGGGGACACCAGCCAACTTGATTACAATTTTATTGAAAAATCGCTTTTTATTCAAAATCTGGGCTAGATAGGTATAGGAAACCCTAATATAGTTTGAAAGAGCATTTAAATCTGCATCGACTTATTTTAAAAAATACATAGTGTATAGTGTTGCATTTGAAATAACGAAGTTTTTATGTAAAATAAATATTTAAAATAGACCAGCAATTTTTGATACCCCTGTATACATTTAAAAAAGCAATCACATTTTTTAGTAAAGGTAATTTCTCTGACTTGAAAGTCAGCACAAGAATTAATTCTGAAAAGTAATGTACAAGGAGTTGACAAACTTTTTTATTACAGCATGCATATTTAAATATTTTTAAATATCTCAAAAACCAAAGCTTTTAGACATAATATTATATCCTTACTAGTTGAAGCCTGGCGCATCCGCCATGATATCAGCAAAAGAATACTTTTTATTTTATTTGAAAAAATAAATGAAAAACAAAAAATCCGACGACGACAATTTTTAGAAAATCCAATTAGCTATCTTTTAGCCTTCTTTCAGTAAAAAAAGCAACTTTCTAGAGCAAGTCCTTACTCCAGTAGAGACGACACAGATAAACATTAGCATTTTATATATGTAGATAATAAAAGCCTTATTTTATGTCCAAGAATCCGAAAAAAGAAATAAAATACCGGGTGTTTTTTTTTCATCTTCCTGAACGATATTTTTGCGGTAACTAAAAAGAAAAAAGATATTATTTTTTTTTGGTGGACTCAAATATATACAGGGTGGTCCATCGAAAACGTTCCGCAAGGCATAACGGCTAGAGTATTTTTTTTTTTCAGAAAATTCAAAAACACGTCAATTTTGTTCGTGAGGAGAACAACTTTTGCTCCAAAAATGATTGCAAAATTTTCAAACCTCTAAGCGGGGGTGTCATCCCCTAACTTTTTTCAAATGGGAAGGGGGGTCAAGTGGCGCCGCAATGAAAAGAGCTTTCAATACTCTATATTTCCCCGCTTTGTGTTTGAAAATCGGTCGAGTCATTGAGAAAATATGAAGAATTGAAATTTGAAAAGCGTATTTAGACATTTATCAGAGTAAATGATAAGGATAAATTCCTTCGACCAATTTGCTGTTTTTTCTTATTATTTCTAGATGTTTACGGATTTTTTCGCTTGCCACAAGTTTGAACGATCAGGTGCGGTAGTTGCTAGATAGCTGTTCTGTGACTTGTGCGTTGAAGTTCTTTTCAATATCGTTAAACTTTTTAACAATTATGGTGTAGTCACTTGCAGAAAAAGTGGAAATAATCGAACTTTATTTTAAAAATAATGAATGTATCGGGTTGCGCACATATTCAATAAACGCTATCCTGACAAACACCTTTATGGCAAAATTATTCGCGAGTTAGTAGCAAAATTTCGCGAAACTGGTTCCGTTATGAATAAAAGAGGCAGAGGGAAAATCCTGTAGTAAATGGGGCTATGGAGGTATTCGTTTTGGGCCAAGTTGCCATGGATAGTACGCTGAGTACAAGAAAATTAGCCAATGAGACCGGCGTGAATCGTACAAGTGTCCAAAGGATATTAAAAAAACAGTTCCACCCGTACAAAATTCAGTTGGTACAAGAACTCAACGAAGACGATTTTGATAGCCGCTTGCAATTTTGTGAAACTATTAGTGAACGAGTGGCGAATGATAATAATTTCCTATTTAATGTGTGTTTTTCGGATGAGTGTACTTTCTTTTTGATAGGTGTAGTTAATCGGCACAACTGTCGGTACAGGGCTGAGGACAACCCCAGGGTTTTTCACAAGGTGCACACACAAAACCCTCAGAAATTGAACGTGTGGGCTGGTATTTTTGGAAATTCTATTGTGGGTCAGTTTAACGATATTGAGAAGAACTTCAACGCACAAGTCACAGAACAGCTATCTAGCAATTACCGCACCTGATCGTTCAACCTTGTGGCAAATGAAAAAATGCATAAACATCTAGAAATAATAAGAAAAAACAGCAAATTGGTCGAAGGAATTTATCCTTATCATTTACTCTGATAAATGTTTAAAAAAACTTTTCAAATTTCAATCCTTCATATTTTCTCAATGACTCGACCGATTTTCAAAAACGAAGCGGGGAAATATAGCGAATAGAAAGCTCTTTTCATTGCGGTGCCACTTTACCCCCCTTCCCATTTGAAAAAAGTTGGGGGATGACACCCCCGCTTAGAAGGTTGAAGATTTTGCAATCTTTTTTGGGGCAAAAGTTGTCCCCCTCAGAAACAAAATTGACGTGTTTTTGGATTTTTTGAAAAAAAAATATCCTGATGGCCGTTATGTCTTGCGAAACGTTTTCGATGGTATAACCCTGTATATACTTTTATTTTAGATTTGATTATGAATGATAAAATTTTAGGTTGGCCGGGAACCAAAGGCCGTACGTGTTCGAAAACTCTTTCAGAATTTACATCAGTATCGGAACGAAAAAGTTGTAGAAATTTGTGCAGACAATGTGGCCATAGAGTAAAGAAAGAAACACGAACAGTCAAGAAAAGTTGTAATTGTAACTTTCAGTGGTGTTGTTCAGTGAAATGTGACATATGTCTTGAAAAAGTGGAAAGACATTATTGTGTGTAGGACCTAGTATAAGAAATAGTTTTTATTCTTCGTAAGTACTACCCTAACCTAATCTAACCAACTTTTATAATGTAAGTATAATAATTTAATATCAAAAAAGTACAAAGTGATTGAAAATGGGAAAAATTATATTATTAATGCATTAGAATAATCAAGACAGGTATTTTTTCTGATATAAACTCCCATACTCACCGAAATCAAAGTTTTTGTTTTCTGAAAACTTCATAAATGTGTAATACTTATACTCTATACTGTCATCATACGATTGTTTCAAATCTTTTGTATCTGCTTATTTATAAACACGGAATATTCAATACAACGTTCCAAATACAGGGTGGTCCGAACTGCATTTCGGAAACTTCGGCAGTCTATTCTGCCCATAAAAATAAGTAAAAAAGTTCGTATACATATATGTTCTAAAATGCTTTGTTTCGGAGGTACAGGGTGTAGAAATTTCATTTTTATTTCGATTTTTTCCAAATAATTTCTAAAGTATCGTCAATATTTGGATGAAAATTGATGTCTGGAATTTTTTTGACATGAGAAATATAATTTTGATGTCAATATAACTCCTATTTGTAGGGGGCGCCACCTACGTGTGTTTTTACTGTTTTGAAGAGTACCTAATAACTTGTCCGTACAAAAAATATACATTTCTATAATTTTTTCCGCAACCGTTCTCAAGATATTTAGAATGGAAATAGTTAATACATGCCATTATTGATAAAAAATAAACACACGTTGAGTAGATACCGTATGATCGAAAAAAAATGGCGTCCAGTTGGCTGGGAAATGACGATCGATGACATTTCCCATATAAATTTACATATAAAATGACAGCGATCTTTATTTCATAGCCATCGTTGACGCCGTTTATTCTCTATCATACGGTAGTTATTTAACTGAAATAATAAATTTGGGAAATTTTTAATTTTTTTAAATTAATCATAAATTTTCAGTAAAAAAATTAAGATCAAACAGTTTCTGTTGTACTTTTGACACAATAACATTTCAAATTTATGATTTCAGTCTAATAACTATTTAGTCAACATGTTTAATTTATGTCAATGATGACAGGTATTGCCAAGGCCCCTCTAAAATCTATAAATTGGATTAAATATTAGGCTTTTGGGTTAAAAATGGCGCTCTAAAAAGCATATTCTATATTATTTTTTATTTGTGCCCACTTTTAAAAAAATCCTGTATCCGCCTCTAGAACCATTACTCGTAGCTATTTTTACAAAGAGGTTTTTTTTACGTAAAAAACGTAGTATATGTATATTTATTTTTCACAGTAATTTTATACAGGTTCGGACCAAAAAATATGTAGGTGGCGCCCTCTACAAATAGGAGTCATATTGACATCAAAATCAAATTTCTCATGTCAAAAAACTTCGGGAACACAATTTTCATCCAAATATTGAACTTACTTCAGAAATAATTATTTGGAAAAAATCTAAATAAAAATGAAAATTTTGCACCCTGTATCTCCAAAACTACGGAACAGTTCGGACCACCCTGCATACAGAGATTTAAAAGTCATACCTTGTATGTAATTATTATTAATTATATATCGAGAAACTATGGTTACGGGTCTCGTTGGATTTGACAGTTTGACAACGAAAATATATTGTTAAACTGACATGTCATATACATGAATAATATATTTTCGTACTTTTATGATTGGGCGTATAATTAAGCGCTTTACTTTTATGCCTATAGGCGTTAAAATTATTTTTTTATATTGTCAATCACGTCACAAAAATTAATACTTGATATTGAAAAAAATACTTTTTTAAAACATCAATAAGTTGTTCGCATTTTGGAAGTAGGGAATAAATGAGGATGATTTCAAAATAAATATGATGCCATTTAAAAATATATAATTTTCTTAAGCTTTAAGCTGAGTTTATATTTATGCATGCGTAATGCGTCGTTCCGTCACACCAATCATATTTAAGTATGAACTGTCATTTTTTAAATAAACCAATACATTTCCGTAAACTCAACGACGGACGACGCATGACGGATGCATGTAAACCCACACTTATCCAAAATTTTGAATATGCGTGGGAATAGGAAATCAATGAATTATGCTAATATTGTTCATATTTATACATAGGTAACCAATGTATGTATATTTAAAAATTAAGTACCCCTATTATAATTACAAAATTATATTGACATATCGAATTATATTTACAGATTAATTACTGTTCTCTAGCTAATCCAACTAAGGGTACAACATAGTGAGGCACCTAGATGCGATGCTCGCCGCGATGCATCCTTCGCGCGTTTTAAGCACTGTTTTAAAACGGCGAGTAAGTGCGCGTTGGATGCATCGCGGCGAGTATCACATTGAAATGCCCCACTCCCACTATGTAGGTACTCTTAGGCCCGATTGTACAGTGTGGCTCGTATTCGACGCTCATCATTGGGATTTCGGAAACCGTAAGAGCGCTTTCACACACACCGGCAAAATCGGTGCCGGTGCCGGTCCTGAAATCGATTGCAATATAAATAAATTAGCTCGTTCACATAAACTCCGGTCCGGCAAAGTAGTCGTGGAGCGGCAAATACAATAGAATTAAATACAACTGTCGGAACGTGTGCAAACCGGCAAAATCGGTGCCGGAGACGGCACCGATTTTGCCGATTTTTGTGCAAGCGCTCTAAGAGATACAGGATCGGTTAAATGGAGGCAAAGTTGCGCAATTTGATGCTCAATAAAATGCCGTATTGTATTTTGAAAAATTCGGAATACTTCCGAACATATTCGAAAAAAAACGGAATTTTCAATTTTGTTTTCTATTGTTTCCTGGCTTTATTTGTTAAGAAAACTTAAAATGAAAAACACATTTTCATGGCCACTTTTTCTGCTCTATAACTCTGTGTGATTAAATACTAACTCTGACTTTTCGGCTTCTGGCGACCATCATCAACTTAATTTTTTTAAATACGGACCTGATTTTTTTTTCAATTTAATTAAATCCTTTCATCACTCTTAAAAAACTATATATAGTCACTTTGATATTTGCCAGTTTTGTACAGAGAATTCCATCACCAGAATATTTTATGCAAAAAAAATAAAAATGCAATACGGCATTTTATTGAGCATCAAATTGCGTAAAATAAAATAAATTGCAAAATGCTTTGCCTCCATTAAACCGATCCTGTATCTCTTACGGTTTCCGAAATCCCAATGATGAGCGTCGAATTTGAGCCACCCTGTACATACACACTCGGTTCAAGCTGAGTTCAGGCTTAAACCATGTTGAAAATTTAATAGGTTTTTTAGTGACTTCTTAACCTTGAAATTAGTTCAAAAATTAGGTATTTGACGATCATCTTATAATCTTATACTACAAGATAAATATACCTAAACAAAATTGTCGAGTTCAGCGTTGATCCGAGTTCACATAAACTCGAGTTAGTACATGTCTGTACAACTGGGTCTTAAAAATTAATGTTGTTACCTCCTTATTTAGTATTTAATTTCTTTATAAAATAATGATAATTTAATGCAAGATTTAACAATATAAGTTTACACCATTTCACAAATAACAATAGTATTTAATAAATATTTATATACAGTATGTCCCCGGATTTTCTTTAAAAGAGGAGAAACCTCTTTTTCTTATTGACATTTTGGGAAAATACATTATATCGAACATTATGTTTAGTATTATAAGGGTATTATTATCTTTTAATGTTATAAATAAAATATTTCCAAAGTTTACTTAAATTTAAAATTTCAGATTGTAATATTTAATTTTTCATAAACTTCTGGATCTTTTAGTTTAGGTATAAGGACATTTAGAGCGAATATTTAATATGTGTTGTATTGAGTAAATCGTAGTTTTAAGATATGAGACAGACTATATAAGTTAGTCTGTGGTTGTTATAAATATAATTTAGTTATATAATAATATATATATCTGTATAATTTTAGTGAAAAATATTGATCAGGTAATATATTTTTATTTTCTCATCAATACAATTGGATTTTTTGATAATGTCGTTTATTTCTAAATATTCATTTAGATATAGGGATATTTAATATTTTACATGGTTACTTTCTAAAGTACATGGCGTTGTTGGCAAATTATTTGACCCATGATCGGTTTACTGTTTTGATTTCCTTTTTAATTCCAAGTCTCTGCAACATACAGTAATACTGGCTTCACATTCGAATTGAAAATATTAAGTTTAGTAAGGAGTACTAACTAAATCTCCAAACGTGGTTGAACATTCCAAATGTTATTCTGGCCTTGTTTATTCTATTTATGATATCTTGTTCTGTGCCTTCGTTGGTTGAGATTATACTACCCCAGTAAGTAAAATTATTTACCTCTTCTATAGATGTTGTTCCAATGATAAAGCGAGCAATGTTGTTGGTACAAGCTCTCATTGATTAATTTTTTTTTAATAATGATTTTAGACCTGCAATTCGATCTTCATTTATCAAGTCAAGTAGTTTTGATACTATATCCGCGTAACTATGAGAAAGGGGACAGATTTCATCTGCATAACTGAGATCTTATAACGTGCTAAAAGGAGTCCACCATATTTCACGATGATTCCTGGAAATTGTTCATCTGCAACCCTGCCTCACCCAATTTCGAATGTTGATGGATTCACTCCGTTTACGCTTATGCAAGACTGCACGATGTGTGACAATAGAGCGCCTTTATGATTCTTACAATTTTGTTAGGAATATCAGCTCTGATTAGAGAGTACATTAGCATTAGGGAGGAATAATTATTAAGTAGGTAGCTATAATTTTTTTTCTATAATTTATTAATAAATAACACTTACATATTTTAATATCGTATAAACTTTTACTCTTTATTAAACAGCAGGAAAATACAAAAGGATGAAGTTTTCGCACATTATTTTTAAACGTTTTCCTTTCTTGTTTTTTTATTTCATATTTTTTTCATAATTTTTTATTTCACAATTTTAGTTTATTTCATAATGGATTTATTATCTTTATTTTAAGATTTTATAATAATTATTGTCATCTTTTATTGATGTACGCCCCAGGTTCCTCAACACCATGGTAACCATAATGCTCTGCAGCCAAATCTGTCATGTAATGATTAATGACACCTCCACGGTTTACTGATCTTCTAAAATAGCTCAGTATCATCAACAGGACTGCAATTTTTCCAATTATACCAGCCTTTATTATTAGTAATTTTATTGTCATTAATGCTATAGGAATTACAGCTGATGAAAATAGAAACGGGAAAAGTAACATCGGTAAATGCTTCTCTACTAATCCTTGAGATTCCTCGGCTTTTTTATGTTTCTTTTTTGCCCCTGACGACATATCTAGAAAGAAAAAAAAGTGGAAATATCAGTTTTAATGTGTTAGGTACTTATCAAATAAAAGTAGGTATTTAATAATAGGTATAAAAATATAAACAATATGTACGGGTTTTCTACGATATTCTCTATGGGTATCTTGCAAACAACTGGAGATAGAGTGTCGGTTAAATGGGGAAAGAACTGCAGTTTTGTGGGGTCATAAATGTGCCCCTTTCGGATTTTTGAAAAAGTTTATGCCTTACTAGATAATTAAAAAAAAACAAATTTAGCCAATTCTTACATTTTTTGAATTTCACTTCAAAACTTATAAAAAGACAGACGACTTTATTAAACGGTTCTTTACAATTTACATTAAATAAATTAGAACTTAAAAAACTAATATCACTTCACAAATGTTCAAAAAATCCGCCATTGTTTTGAGTACATTAAATTCATCTCATTTCAAAACATTTATTTCATTATAAAGGATAGCGTCATAATTAAAGTAATTTTGGAACCACTCTATTGATGCGCCAGTCCCTAAATTTATCTTTTCTAACATGTCATCTAGTACGCATAATTGTAGGTGTCACCACTCACCACTGGAAACTGCCCTACTGGGGCAAACCTCGTGAGATGGAAAATTTCCAATTCCAACGACGACTACTGCAGAGAATGCGGAGAGGAAGAAGAAACCATAGAGCACCTCTTTTGCCACTGTCCGGTACTGGAATACCGACGCTTTAAAACTTTAGGGCAAGGTTTTTTGGAGGGACTAGAGGAAGCAGCAGAAGCCAACATCAGTGAAATCGGGAACTTTGTAAAGAGCTGGAAGTGCTTTAATGCAAAGGAATGAGACGAAGGTTTGGTACAATAATACAGGGGTATCGCAATGGGCCCAAGGCCTCCGAGTGGGGTCAATTTCAACTATACCTACAAACGTTCACCGGTCAACGTATCCTCGAAAATGTAAAGCCAATAAAAGTTAAACCAATAATCCCACACGCTTTCTAAGGATATAATAATATCTGAAAAATTCATATTTACAATTTAGAATTGGGGAGCATTTTCAAAATAGCCGTAATTTGTTTTTTTTTTCGAAATATCTAGTAAGCCATAAACATTTTCAAAAATCCGAAAGGCGCACATTTATGACCGCAAAAAACTGCAATTCTTTCCCCATTTAACCGACTCTCTAGCTCCAGTAGTTTCTGAGATACCCATAGAGACCATCGTACAAAACTCACCCTGTATAAACATTTTATTTAAATTTAATTTTTAATTATAAAGTCTGATAATAAGTAACCATATTTATTTGAAACACACTCGTTATAAATTATGACATGACATTTCTGAAAAGAAAATTTTACATCAAATCAACTGTAGGAAAAAATATAAGCGTTTCTTTAAAAAAAAACAACCCTGGTGAAAAAATATATTTGATTTACTTTGTAAATCTACGAAAATATTTTCTAAATTGTTCGCTACAATTTCCAGTATATATCTTGTAAAAAGATTGGAGGAAAAATCTTAAATATTATAGAAAACTTTTTAAGAATACTGGGTCATGTGTTGAACGATTAATTTTCAATCAATGAATCTTGGAAAAATATATAATTTGATTGTTTAATATTTTTCGTGTTTTTTTTTCAGACGGGTTAATAGATGCCCAAATCGTATTTGTAGTTATAACCCAATTTTTTCAAATGGAACAAGACTAGCTCATGAGGACATTCGGAAGAGCCATTTTTTATAAAACAAAGTATTTGAATAAAAAGATTAAGGAAGAGGTATACTGCTATCCATGTATTCATGCATGGTGGGCGGAAAAAGGACTCTAGATTGGGGATCCTTGACAATTCTGTTTGACGATTCATTTGACACATTTGAATTTGATTTGAAATTTTGTGGATTTGTCAGTCTTTACTGAGCTTATTTTATGTTATTTATTTATGATACTGATAGTTGTATAAAGCTAGTAAATCTAGATGGAAAATGTGGCAGAACTTTAATTAACAGTGACACTATTGCGACTTATCGAAAAAGATTGTAAAATAGTTAGTTGTGTAGTGTGCGTTAGATCTCGGTCAAAAATCGAATGAAATAATAACTATTTGCTAGTAAATGACTATAATATAATATATATACGTGTAGTAAACCGATCATTTATGACTTTCACTTAAATTAACTAATTATATATTTTTTCTTGCATTTTTGCTTTTATTTACTACTTGTCAAAGGTTAGATATCAAAGAATTTAGATACGTGAATTTGACTTACCTGCTTCAGTAGCGTATCGGATGTTTGTGTTAATAAAAAATTAATATAACTTATCTATTTTTACTAGAATTATATATTTTTATAACAATTTTAATAACTACCAACATTTATTCACAACGTAAAATAAAACAACAAATTATTGACTCTACCCCAGGTCTACCCTACATCATAGTTTTACACTTTTTAAATAAAATTAGAACGGCACTGATAAACCGGAATTTAAGTCGGCCATATTTGAGTCCCATCGCGGTGGATCTAAGATTTTTGATATGCTCCTTCCTTAATCTTTTTATTTAAAGAATAAAGCCAAAAAATACACCGAGGGTAACACTAATTTATTTTTTTTTTAAATAAAAAGTTGTAGTTATTTTTGGTAAAACAGGAGGTGAACGAAACTAATTATTGAATACGTTAATCAATCGAAAATAATAAAAAATTTATAGAGTTGAGTCACTTTTGAAAAACACCCGGTATCTATACTTTAGTCTAAATAACAAAAGAATATTACGTTCTGCACAGAGGACATCCGAAAAAAAAACATAAAAGCAATATGCTTTTCAAATAAAATGACAAAAAACTGTAATTTTTTATTACAGAAAACTGACATGTCATATATGGGGATTATTTTCATTTAGATAGTCAAAGGGTAGATTGTGTAATTATGGTTACCTACTTTATATAATTAAAACACACACAGGTGTCTAATAATTAATGATAAGAATTGAAATATTGCTTACCCCCACTTTTTAGTTTAGCATTAACAGACCGAGCATCATCTTCGATTATTAATATTTTTCCATTCCATTCACTTCCACTCGTTTTAACTGCTTTACTTTCCATTTCTGTACATTGACAGATATTTGAAAATTTAATAAACATTACAACGGCCACCACAACAAGTTTTAAATTCGGTAACATACTATTTCTTTAACATTCCAAGGTAAATACATATCTATCGAAAGAGAAAAATGTTGTTGCTTGATAGCTAAAGACAGATTCTCACAAACTGCGGCATTCGGTCAGCTTGAAGCGAGTTGTTCTAAATTCTTCGTCTCACTAGGAAAAGTTCTATAAGACGCAGTTTGTTATGCGTTAATTAATTACAATTAAATTATTATTATACAAGACAATTTTAAAAACTATAAAAATCTGCACCCTGTATAATTATTTACAAGGTATTATTTTTATATTATTTACGATGTATGAAACTCTTTAAAATAGTATATTGTTTTATTAGGAGCAAAGATGACACTTTCTGTGGCGAGGCTGTACAGGGTATCCCATTTTAGTTGAAATCATACGGTACCTATCTCCGATATTCGTGAAGATAGAAGGGTGCGGTTTGCACAAACCTGTGCCACTTTTTTGTCAAACGGAAGATGCCGTAAACAAAATTTTCATAGCCCTCTTCATTTCTGAGCTACAGGGTCTTTTTGAAAATTTTATAATTTGGGACATCCCTTATATCTCTGTTAGTGTTAAAGGTATCGAGAAATGGAACACCCTGTATATTTGTAAATTATATGATCTGGCTTGCCATAAGCTTCTCAAAACTATATATCACTCTATATTTATTTTCACTATTTACTGCAATATTTAAAAAAATATATTAAAAAAGATCATATTTATTAGTAGGCCATGATTGATAATAAAAAAACTAAAGAATTATTAAAAGTATACTGCTATCTGCCTCTTTTTTTATTTTGAGGGCCACTAATAAATTCTTTATATATTAGGAAAATTTAACTCTCTACCGCTATTTGTAAATCTTGGAAGCTATCGTATCGGAACTTTTACAAATATTCCTTTACCTAATTTACGTAAAATATACTTTCAGCAAGATGGGGCTCCCCCTCACAACTTAACTTACAACGAAAATATTAGAATTTTGTTAAATCATTATTTCTCAAATCAATGAATTGGAACCAATGGACTCATATATGATAGCCTCCCTGATTCCCGGATTTATCCGTTCTCGATTTCTGATTTTCGGGATTTTTGAAATATGAAATATTATATCCTGGCAACTAATACAATGTGGAACACCCAAAAAATGCTTTAATAATTCAAGCCAATAATGCAAGCTTTTAGATATTTGCAAACCCATTCCGTTATAAAAAAAAGAAAATATTATAAAAAAGTGATATTCAGTACAGTTCAAAAGTAAAATATATCAATTCCAAATAAAATTTTAATATGTGTATGACTATTTTAGTAAATACCATTTTGATTTTTGTTATCTTTCACGGCCTACTAATAAGATAAATAAATGATATATCTTAAATATTGCAGTAAATAGTGAAAATAAATATAGAGTGGTATATATTTTTGAGAAGCTCATAGTAAAGCGGATCATATAATTTATAAATATACAGGGTGTTTTGGTTTGGTTTGGAAAACATAACTTTATATATCATATTTTCAAAAATATTTTTTTTCGTAGAAAAACAGACTACGCCACTGTATTCTACGTAAAAAGTTGTACAAGAATCAGTTTTCACCATCTCGATATCATCCATAATAACAGAGATACGGGGGCTGTCCCAAATTGCAAAATTTTCGAAAAGACCCTGTAGCTCAGAAACGAAGAGGGGTATGAAAATTTTGTTGACAGCATCTTCTGTTTGACAAAAAATTGGCATAAGTTTGTGCAATCCGCACCCTTCTATCTTCACAAATAACGGAGATACCGTATGATTTCAACTAAAATGGGACACCCTGTACGTTTACAGGCTAGGCACAAAAAGTCATTTTTACTCCGAATAGATTTTACTCTATTACAAATCATTTTTTAAACAATTTCAAACTTTCCAAATAAGATAAAAATAGTTAAAAGTTAGTAATACCTCGTATATAATTATACAGGGTGGTCCGAACTGTATTCCGGAAACTTCGGCAACATATTCTGTACATAAAAATAAGTCAAAAAGTTCATATAAACTTATGTCCTAAAATGCTTCGTTTCGGAGATACAGGGTGTGGAAATTTCATTTTTATATCGATTTTTTCCAAATAATTTCTGAAGTAACGTTAATATTTGGATGAAAATTGGTGTCTGGGAGTTTTTTGACATGAGAAATTTGATTTTGATGTCAATATGACTTCTACTTGTAGAGGGCGCCACCTACATATGTTTTAACTGTTTTGAAGGGTAATAACTTTTCGTCCGTACCTGTATAAAACTACTAAGTGAAAAAATATACATTTCAGTGACTTTTTACATAAAAAATGTCTTTTGGTAAAACTTGCTACGAGCAATCGTTCTCAAGATATTTAGAATGGAAATAGTCAATACATGTCATTATTGACAAAAAAATAAACACGTTAGATAGATAGTGTTTTCACTGAAATAAATAAATTTGGGAAATTTTTATTTTTTTTAATTAATCATAATTTTTTTGCGAAAAAATGATGATAAAACAGTTTCTGTTGAACTTTTGACACAAAACATTACAAATTTATGATTTCAGTCTAATTTCCATGTTTAATTTATGTCGATGATGACAGATATTGATCATTTCGATTCGAAATATCTCGAGAACCATTACTCGTAGCGATTTTTACCAAGAGACCTTTTTTACGTAGAAAATGTCCTAAATGTATATTTTTTACTCACTAGTTTTATACAGACAAAAAGTTATTACTCTTAAATCCAGTTAAAAAATATGTATGTGGCGCCCTCTACAAGTAGGAGTCACGTTAACATCAAAATCAAATTTCTCATATAAAAAAACTCCCAGGGACCAATTTTCATGCAAATATTGAAGTTACTTCATAAATTATTTGGAAAAAATCGAAATAAAAATGACACTTCAACACCCTGTATCTACGAAACGGAGCATTTTAGGACATACATTTATACGAACTTTTTTACTTATTCTTATCTGCAGAATATGCTGCCGAAGTTTCCGAAATACAGTTCGGACCACCCTGTATATCGAGAAACTATAGTTACGCTCGTTAAAATTAGACTGACACTTTGTCAGTCTAATAACATATTTTCGTTCTTTTGTGCTTAGGCGTAAAAGTGGTTTACTTTTATACCTAAGCGTTAAATAACTTTTTTATATTGTCAATCACGTCGCAAAAATTAATACTTTTGTGGCGTTTGACAAAAAAATTATTTGTGGCATTTGAAGGAAAAATAGGATGTTGGCAAAAATGTACTTTTGTGCCAGCCTCGCCACAGAAATTGTAATTTTTAGTCCTAATAAAACAATATACTATTTTTATTTACTTATTTTCCTTCTACGATAAACCAAAGCATTGATGCTACATACTTTGAATAACAATACGTCAAGATCACAATTTATTTTTTGTTTTAATATACATACGGTTTTAATTAATTCAATTGAAAGTAGGTAGCCTATGGTAACGGAAACTAAAACCAGTTCACTATTCTAATTTTACTATACCCAATCTGTCAATGGAATTTGTATGTAAAAAAATTAAAAATAGGGCACCATTTAATTATACAGTAGATCAAGTTAAAGATGAAAGACATTCTAAAAATATTATTATGGATGGTCAAAATATTCAATGGTTATTCTGCATAAGCTTAACTTGTATTATTCTTAGAAAGTTATCTATAAATACTAATTATAACTTAAATTCTATTCATACGATAAATTGGGTTGACTTTTTTGGTTTCAAGTTAACGTGGATGTATTCGAATTAAAGCAAACCATATATGTTCAAAATCATTTATAGCAGTTCTACATTTAATATAACATCATTTCTATTTGCGTCTAGTGTATCTAATCGATCTTTAGAAACAATATAATAAAATTGTTAATATTATTAAAAAATATTTATTATAAAAACTTTACTTCAAACTAAACTTTTTGTAACGAATTGAACATAAAAACGGTCCAATTTTGTACCGTACGATCGAAAAAAAAAACGGCGTCCAGTTGGCTGGGAAATGATCGATGACATTTCCCATATAAATTTACATATAAAATGACAGCGATCTTCATTTCATAGCCATCGCTGACGCCGTTTTTTCTCGATCATACGGTATATCATAGGTACTGTATGATCGAAAAAAAACGGCGTCCAGTTGGCTGGGAAATGAACATCGAGGACATTTCTCATATAAATTTACATATAAAATGACAGCGATCTTCATTCCATAGCCATCGCTGACGCCGTTTTTTCTCGATCATACGATATATGCATTCATAGGTCATATGCAAAATAAGTAAATACAAAATTTCATCATAGATATAGTTCATACCAAATATAAAATATAAAAATATATAAAAATTTATATATTTTGATTAAAAAAAATATATAAAAATGGTTTTATAATCAAAATATTTTTGGAAACAAAAATAAATTAATTATATATAAACAGTTATTATCAACTAAACTCACTTTCTTAACAGCACTTAAAGCCCATAATGGCCATTGCACAGTTTAAAGATATTACTACCGCCATTACTACCGCTTTCCCGTTCAAAATATTCTAATAAATTTGCGATGAGTTCTTTACGGCTATTAAGCTATCTTGTACACTTCACACTAAAAGAGGTTCTAAAAAGAACAATGTTCGACTGCAATCCATACAGAAACCAATTCGTCAGTGGTATTTTACTAGCAAAACAAATTTGTTTTAGGAGGTATACCTCCGTTCTTAATGTTTTTTTTGCTTCTGACGACAGGAGGAGATGGTGTTCCTGATATGTGAAGCATTTTTTGTCAGTTGGGTAAATATGACGTACTAGTAAGATACCACTGAAAAATTGATTTCCGTTCGAATTCAACGCGGTTGTGTTTATACAGGGTTGTCCACCACATACGACACGGAGTAATTGTAGCTAAACCATTAGATTTTTGGGTTCATTGAAGGACTATTAGAGTTACAATCTAAAAATATTTTTACAAGGTACAGATTGTCCCAAATAAATAAAAAATATAATAGTTGTATTTTTTTAATGGAAAACCCTGTATATTTTTGGATTCTACGATTGAAATAAAGGTAAATTTGATTAAGGTTTAACCTTACCGTTTTTGAAATATTTTCAATTTTATGAAATTGCAGTAAAAATTTTAAGGCTTCATTTCTCCAAGGGTATCAAAATTTTTAATACTAAATATTTACTGAAGATTTATTTATTGATCAGATATTTTGTTGCAATAATAATTTTAATACCTTATACAGAGTGTCCAAAAATTTATATTAAATAATTACTAGCTTTAAACGGCAATAACTTGTTTAATTTAACCGGAACACCCTATATATTTTACGTGAATCAGATGTACAATGTAATTGTCTATCAAATTGTACTATACCATTTTGTACCCATCTCTTCAAGTTTTCGTAAAAAATGTATTTCCTTATAATTTAGACCTCGTTTATCACTATACCCATGGAATAGTAACATTTTAGTTTATTTTTAAAGATGTAACAAATTTTCAAAGGGTACAGATACTAATATTGTCGATATAGTTCGCTTATTTAATTAAAAAATAAAAAAAACTGTTTAAATATTTTTTGTTAAAGAGGACCAATTAATTTGATCCCAGTATTCAAACTACATTAATTGACTGTTTACGTTGATTAATAATAATTGCTCCATATACTAAAAAACTGAATTTTGTGTGTGTATTAGACAGTGTGGTAAAAAGTAACACCTTATAAATTTAATTTCATATTTTGACGAATGCTTATTTACAAAAACAAAGACGTCCATTTCCATAACTTATTATTATATTTATTTCTGGCCAAATCCACATTTATTTAGTATACTTTATTAATTAAAACAATTTAAAAGTATGCAATTAACTAATTTTTGGTGTTTTTGGTCGGAAATAATGGTGGTATATTTAATTGGTATACTCTTTTACAAAGATTTAAATAGTTTTTTTGTATGCCAATGGCAGGGGCGGATACAGGAATTTATTTTAGGGGGGGGGGCCAAATAAAAAGTAATGTAGAATATGCTATATGCACCATTTTTAACCTAAAAGCCCAATATTTAAACCAATTTACAGATTTTAGGGGGAGCCCGGGATCCATGGGCCCCCTCTGTATCCGCCACTGGCCATTGGGCTTGCAATATTTACCACCTGTATATTTTGTACATATATAGTGCTATAAAAAAATCTGAAATGTCAATATTCCATGGGTAATATGATAAATTAGGTCTAAATTATAAGAAAATGCATTTTCTACGAAAACTTGAAGAGATGGGTAAAAAATGGTATAATACAATTTGATAGACAATTACATTGTGCATCGGATTCACATAAAATATATAGGGTGTTCTCCATTTAAATTAAACAAGTTATTGCCGTTTAAAGCTGGTAATTATTTAATATAAATTTTTGGACATTCTGTATAAGGTAGTAAAATTTTTATTATTGCAACACAATATCTGTTCAATAAATAATCTTCATTAAATATTTAGTATTAAAAACTTTGATGCCCTTGGAGAAATGAAGCCTTAAAATTTTTACCTACTGCAATTTCATAAAATTGAAAATATTTGAAAAACGGTAAGGTTTAAGTGTGATAAACTTTAATTAAATATACCCTTATTTCAATCGTAGAATCCAAAAATAGAATAATATACAGGGTGTACCATTTAAAAAAATACAACTACTGTATAATATTTTTTACTTATTTGGGAGACTCTGTATCTTGTAAAAATATTTTTAAATTGTAGCTCGAATAGTTCAACGAACCCAAAACTTACAATTTGTAAAAAGCTAATCGTTTAGCTACAATACTCCGTGTCGTATATGGTGAACAACCCTGTAGAAAATATTTTTTTTATTTCGTAGATCCTACTGGCGAAAAACTAAAAAAACTTTTTTCATGATCAGAGATAGTTATTATATATTATTCAATACCTTTGTTATTACTTAACTCTTTACTTTAAAGTATTTTAAGCGATTCTGTTTTCAGAGACTATCGAGATGAAACGAACAGTCTATGTTCTGCTTTCTTTAGTTAGTATCAACCACTGAGAAAGAAATGAGGTAACTTCAAGGCATAGTAATTTCATTAGGCTTAAATCGACGCTGTTCTAAAATAATGACAATTTGTGGAATAGCTGTGATGTTTTATATTTTAGTGGCTTATAGTGGTATAATAGAGTGTAATGTGATTAATGAGAGGACTACGACACAAAATTATCTCAACACAAGAAACTGTGTAAATTTAGAAGAAGATATTGATGAAAATGTGACGAAGAATATATCAGATATAGCAGGTAAAACCTATAAATATATTATAGTATAAGTAACCTAAATACATCTCTATAAGTAGGCACCCTTAATATAACTATAAGTAAGCTAAATAGAATTTATAACACTTGTCTTTTAATGACTAATAAGGATTTCAAACTAAGGATCAGCAAACTTCTAGAGAAAAATAAGTTGATGAAGATTTGCTTCAAAATATATGGAATTAGTCTTGAAGCCTATCATAGAAATGTATATCTATACCGGGTGCGTCTGGAAAGTGACTCACCCTTATAATTTTTTTATTCTTTCAGATAAATAAACGACATTTGGTAAGTTAGTATATGACATAAATCAGGATTGATTGACGTATTGACTTATTCAATTGTTTTCGGTCACTCCCTGTTTCACCGGAAATGACTTTTGATTTTTAAACTTCACCCTCGGTATTTTTTTACCTTAATTGATAAAAATGACACTCTGAATAGAATGACAGTGCCATCGCTGTGTTAAAAACACTAATTTTTATTCAAGGAGTCAATAGGGGGTCAATATCAAGGGAAAAATAGATCTAATGTTTTTGTTTCTTGTCCTGGCCGATTAAAAAATGTCCAAACTGTTTTTTTAATCATAACTCAATTTTTTTAAATGTGACGAGGGTAGCACATTTGCATATTTGCTCAGTAGCATATTTGGAAAAGGATTTTTTTATGAATAATTTGGTACCACACACTTAGTATTTCGAGTCAAATTGTCGTCATATTTATGATCTAAATTCAAATTTAAAATGCTACTTTTTTTAATTGAAAGTGTCAAAAATTTACATAGATATGTCATTCTATTCAGAATATAATTTTCTATCAAATGAAGTAAAAAATACCGAGGGTGTCATTTAAAATCAAACAATAGAGTATATAACAATCAATCCTAAATTTAGGTATGTCATTCTACTAACATACCAAATCCGGTTTTTATTATCTGAAAAAATAAAAAAGGTATATAGTTCAAGAAAATAATTCTTCCTTCAATGTACGAAGTTTTGGTAAAAACTTGAATTTTTGATATGAGGTACTTTGAAAGATTTAAAAACGAATTGTGAAAGATTTTTTTAAATTCTCTGCTGATAAGGGGTGAAATAAATAAATAAAATTATTTTTTTGAAATTTCTAAGAAACAGCAAGAACTAGAAAAGTCAAAGAAAAAAAAAATTCACAGATTTTGCAACATGCGCAACCATCATAGGCGTATTGAAAATACCAGACACAAAAGTCGGCGGTGGTCAGCAATCACCTGTTTTTTACATTTTATATTAACTTATTACGTCATTTGGAAGAGCTCAATAGAAATATAAAAGAACTAAAGCTTGTTTGGAAAGCAATTTGACATTCGTGACGTCAGCACTCCGGCAGTCTAACGTATCGCTAATTGCCATTCGCAAATATATTCCAGATAGGTATAGTGAACAAATGAACCGTTCGCAACGTTAAATAATTTTGATATTTGACTTTTATCGTGATGGCTTTTCATAAAAGTGAAGAATTTAGTAAGAAAAATATTAATGATGGAGATGAACGTGTACGGATTCATGAATGGTCACGATCACGGTGACACTATAGAAATGTGAGGTATGTGTGTATACATATATATATATATATATATATATATATATATATATATATATATATATATATATATATATATATATATATATATATATATATATATATATATATATATATATATATATATATATATTATATGTATATACATATATATGTATATATATATATATAGCATATATATATATATATATATATATATATATATATATATATATATATATATATATATATATATATATATATATATATATATATATATATATATATATATATATATATATATATATATATATATATATATGTATATGTATATGTATACACACATACCTCACATTTCTATAGTGTCGTGACCGTGATCGTGACCATTCATGAATCCGTACACGTTCATCATATATATTGTTCATATATATATTGTAGTGTAACAACCCAAATTCGTCAACAAAGTTGAAGAGGTAATATTTTGGCCAACTGTATAACAAGAAATTTAAATGAAAGAAAGGAACCTACGTTGTGTTAAATATTTTTTTATTATGATTACCTCGGATGCGCCTCGACAAAGCAATATTTTGGGAAATTTGAGGAGAATAGGTTATGTAAATAAAACGCTAAATTTGTAAATGGCCCTACTTATTTTATTAAATGAAATGAAAGGAGTGCCGTACTCTGCCTGGAATTCACATGTAAAAGAGCACGGCAGAGAAAACCATGATCACTATTCCAGAGAATCTAACTATGCTGTCCTGAACTTTCATAAAAGAGAAATAATACTATAGAAACTGTCCTCATACCCAGGTTTATAGTTTAATACATTCAAAACATGCCACATTTATATCGTTCAAAACTGAAGAGGTTTTTGTTAGTTTAACGGGTCCCCACCCGTAGGTACGAAGTCCCTTGTTGCGGAATCGACGCTAAAGTTGAAGGTTTGGCGCCAATATCTTATAATTTAATAAATTGTAAGTTATTCTATGAATTATTTTATTTATTGTTTTTGTTTGCCCTTTTGCGAGCTAAGATATTCGCCCATGCAAGGTCGAAAATTGTTAGTACACTCTACAAGGCTCTTATTCTCACAAACCACAAACATCGGCACGAAGGAACAGTAAACGATTTTATTTAGATTACTTTTAAACTGAAATTATTTATAGCATAAATAGATTCCATTAAATGCATACACATGTTATATATTGTCTTTGTCAGATCAAATAAATAAGGAAAAGCTTTAGAACAGAATTACAACAAGAAAACAAAATAATATGATTTAAGTAACATTAGTTAAATAATGACAAAATATTTACTTTACCTTTAATAACATTCTTTGTCACAAAACTCAAGAACCAAAATAATATTAATGCGTCTCGAATGGTAGGCTAAAAGCTATTATCTAACAAATATCACATCTGTTCGTCGCCTGATTTCCCTCTCCCGAGTTTGTGAATAATATTTTTTAAAAATCAATAATTTTGTTTATGTATACAGAGTGTCTTAAAAATGAATGTTTTGAGTTTAAATAAATATGTCTATTTTTAAATAGGCGGTTCATCTCAATATATATATATATATATATATATATATATATATATATATATATATATATATATATATATATATATATATATATATATATATATATATATATATATATATATATATATATATATATATATATATATATATATATTAACCTATAACAGGGGCCGGCACTGCTGGTACGGGTGTGGCGAACCCGAGGTGCCCTAGCTAGGCTCTCTCCCACTCCCAGGGGGATCCTTTCCAAGCTTCCTTGAATTCCTATCTTCATCCAACCCTTTACTCATAGCAAAGGGTATCCCGACCTATCCTTTTCCTCAAAGATCGTTTCATGCTGTGGCCGCGTTGGGAGTACTGAGTACCGCCTTCCACGGGAAAAGTTGATGTGAGCTCGCTCTGCCGAGGCGTGAGCTGCAGTATGAAGCAGGAACCAGCCGCTTCGGACCTTGATCAGGGAGTGCGCATTGGATGTGAAGGTCGGACTTCACATTGCTCCGGGCGAGTCCTCGTCCGTCCGAGTTTTCCGGGACGGGGAAAACGAAGGCTGGGCCTCAGGGAACTGGGGTAGGAAACAATCCGAGGGTATACCCGTTCTCAGCTTTTTCGGCCCGCCCCTCTGCGCACGATGCGCTGTGTCATACCAGACCATGAACAAGCAAAATATAATACTGGATAAAAAAATAAACGATACGGAAACCCAAGTAACCGATAAACATCAGGATAACCCATTTGAAAGACGAAGTTCGCTTTCAAGAACACCTCCAAGGCGAACATGGTCCGTACCTGACCTCAGCCCAACGGATATAGATCGACAAACACCGGCGAAAAGGAAACGAACTGATGGTCCCTTTTTTTGTAAGAGCGATCAGAACACAGGAGAAATTATTCGGGACATTGTCCGCAAGTTGGAGCTAAACGCCAAAGCACTCAGCCGAACGGTAAATGAAAGCTCGAACACCAAAAAAGAGATAAGAGAAATTTCTGCAAAGCTCCTGAGGCTTACAGAACAACTGACAGGCTGTGAAGTACAAAAAGCTCTGCGAGGTCTCCTAAATGAACCAGAGACAGATCCAACAAGGCTACAAAGTCGTGCAACCAATACAAGCGACGCACAAACGCAAACCGAGTTGATAAACGCCGATATCCAAATGATGGAATCCAGCCCCGACACCATCAAGTTAACAGAGCAAGAAGTCATTGGAGCAATCAAAGAGGAATTAGACAGAACGGCCTTGAAGGCTCTTCTAGATCAAGATTGGGAAGATGAATGCTACACCCATACAAGTCTAAGCAAAAATGGTGTAAACGATGTAACGAAGCAAACCGACATTGCAATATTTCTGGACCCGAGTATTGCAGCCAAGTCGAAGGTGATCCGCAAGGTGGCTGAGCTCGTACCAGAAATACGAACACTAGCCGTGGATAATAAACCAGAACCACAGAAGCTAGCATACATAGAGAGCAACAGTAAGCTGATATTAGAAGAGCACAGTGATCCTCATGAGGAAAAAAAATGTACCTTTTTGGTAGGGACCGATGATCACAAAGAAAATGAAGATGGCCTCTATGAGCTGTATCTGGCAGCAAAAAAGCTAGCGAGAGAAGCAGAACGAAGAAGCAAGCCACAACTACACGTCATCGTCCAAAAACGATGGCCCCAGTCATATAGCCGCAAAACTGTTGAATGTGCTTTGAAATTCAGCAACCTAAAAGTCATCCTGTATCTAGAATCACCTTCAGCAAAGCCCTCTTCAGGCACCACGGAAGTCCAAATACGATCAAAAGCAGCACTTAGAAGACCAAACGAGCTAGTGGTTATGGAGCGAGGAGATCGCTCATACGCGGATTTACTCAAAATTGTAAAGGAGAAGGTACAA